CATCTTGTGACTTTCCTAGGTGATGTGTTTGTTACATGTTCTGTTAAAAAATATGTGCATGTGAGCAATGACAGTATTCTGAATTTGTGTCTTTGCAGTTGCACATTAGTAACCCCATTTCCTTTTTTTGTTTTTAATATTAGCAATTTTTTCTATGGATATTCTGCGTAAATGAACACAGAAAATGTGCAGAGGAGCTAACAGATCATTTTAAGTGGTTTACAAAATAAAATGTAATTTTGAAAGTACTCCAAGGGAATTTTGCTAACCACAGATATACTGAAGATTTATTTGAAAATTATTAATGCATGTATCCTTTATAAAATATATATTATTAATCTTACAAAGTTTGCCTAGATATGTGTATAGGCAGCCAAGTGGGAAACACTGGAGAAAGTTAAAATTGCTTTATGTTAAAGCAGTTAAGATCCTTTTCTTTGACTTGAGCAAAGATGTGGTTTGGAAAATATTCATAAAGAAAATATTCCTTGAGCATTTTGGCCATTATTAGGAATTTTCGAGTAAGTTGATTAGAAGTATTGCATTGAATCATAAGGCATAAGAATTGAGGAATGAACTAGTGATTAAATCAAAGACATTTAAGTTCAATTTAGCCCTGAGCAATGTAAAATACTACTTACTGCCTTACACCTGGAATCCCATCATCTTCCAACATGGTAAATCTCCCCCTTTTTCTACATTTATTATTTTATGCTAACAATAATAGATAAAATACAAAATAAAAAATAATAAATTAAATGTCATTTAGTGTGAAGGAATATGCCCTCATATAACAGAAAAGCAGACATTCATTTGCAACAAAAAACTTCTAACATTAAGTGTATTTTGGTTCAAATCCTTGAAAGTCATTTGGATGGTGCTAAAATTGAGTTTTTGAAGCAGTGGAGTAATATAATTAGTATTAAATATTTAATCATTACATATTTGGAGGTAATTTATAAATTATTTATTAAATCCTTTTTCAGTAATGTTACACAGTGTTCATTATCCCGTGGATAATTGATTTTTCCCTTATGATGGCTGTAGGAAATGAAGAGTGTTGTTGAGTGAATGTGTTTATTTGGTGGTTTCAGTTTCTGAAGTATTATAACATCAACCTCCCACACGCAGCTGAAGATGCCAAGTATCTTAATAGTTATAGAAAAGAAAGTTCCTTTCCCTACATGCCTCTTTTAACAGTTCAGGAGTGGTGGAAAAATGAAGCAGTATGTGTATTTATACATGTAGTTTATATATACATATATTTGCAAGGGCATATACCCATATATTTAGCAATCCTTGAGCTTTGCATCTGCAAAGTACTAGGTGTTTGAACTTGCCCACTCTAAAACTAAAAATGATCTAAAAATGTAGCTATTAATAAGGGAATGTGAAATTACAGGATTAAATAGAATCTGAGTAATTGACTTATAAAAACTTAGTAACAAGTTTTTTTTATCTAGTAATAATATTTATTATATGCATGAGTATTCAACAAAATGGTATGTTTTCAAACCTTCCTTTTCTTTGTGTTTTAGCTACAATAAATTTTAAAAAGACATCTAGAGTTACTGCTAAGCAAATGATTATTAGAAGAAATCTGAGGTGAAATGATCCATATAAAGTGAGCTAACTTTATTCTGGCATTAGACATAAGTGTTCATAGGCAAGCCACTAACAAAAGGTTTGCTTTCTACCTTCACTCTCTGATGCCATAATTTGGAATCACTGATAGTTGTTTTATGCTCTGGATTTTTAATGTCATCATACACATTAAGGACAGAAGAAACCCCTGTGGACATCTTGTCTCACTCAGCATAATATTTGCCACAAAAATTATCTATGCAATTTTTGATGCATGCACCTTGAAAGTTTATTCTACCATTTTACCAGTTGTATAAAAACTCCTAGATAATGCTTTCACAACCTCAGTAGCAGAAATTCAGCAAAAAAGGAGCTATAAACGTGTAACTCAGAGCTTTCCTATTTTCCATGCTGATACCCAGTGTAACAGAAGTCTGGATTTTGCCTGTTAGTACATGGACATTCATTATGGAAAAAAAATGACTAGGTAACTCTGAAATCCAGTCAGCTGGACAGAATTCTAACCATCTCTTATTCTCTATTAACCTTAAGCATATTTTGGTTTTTAGATATTAAAGAGCTGAACAGAAAATTTTACAGGACAGTACATTTCCTTAGGGAATAATTTATCATCTGCTGCTGTATCATCATTGCTGACTACTCCTAGTGCCACCTGACTTTGCTGTCCACCCCATTACTGTCTGTTATTTAAACAGGTGAGTCAAGCTCTTTCCAAACACATGGAATGATGCAGTTTTTATTTTTTACAGCCTGCATAGAAATGTCTTTCCCTGTCAAGCCAATATATCACCACTGAATTCAGTGCAGCCCTGGCAGATTACACACTGGCATGTAATCCAGGCAACAGCCAAAAACATTGAAGAAAAAGGACACATCAAGTGTCAAGCCAAAAAACACAGCCAGAGTTACTAGGAAAAATGTGATTAAAGAAACAGTGTTGACATAAACACGCTAGCAAACACTGTGTCTCCTGTTTATAATGAAAATTGTCACTATCTTAATGAAATCTGAGTTTAGACTGCCTTTCATTTTTCATGTTTACCAGAGGAATCATTAAGCACAGAATCAAGAGCAAGGGAAAGGTTTGAAAGCTAGAGATATTAAAACTTAAGGTCTTCTGATTATAGTCATCCTACATTTTTATTTCATTTTCCTCATTCATTTAACATTTTATAATGACAGCTACTTGCTTAATATTTCACTAATTACTTAAGGGGTCCTAGGAGTACTATGCCATTACATGTATTTTGTAGAATGGGTTAAAAAAATTGTATTTATGGGAATACAAATGTAGATTTTGAGGTTTTATAATAGGATCTAAAACTTCTACAGCCATCCCTAAACATCTGTGAAGTACTTAAAAGATTTTTGACTAAATACCTTCAGTTTCTTTACTTCTTTTTACAGTGAAGCTACATTTAGTTCATTATGTGTTCATTTATTAGAATTTTTATGTGTCACGTCTCCTATATTTTAGCTCCTGATGTGAAGTCTACATGTGTTTAAACATATACATTCTGTTTCTTCTTGAAAATACAAAATTTCTTATTCAGCTCTTTGGCATACATTTTGCCATGATGGAATGTCTGTAACTGAAAGTTCAGTCACCAGGTGAAACTAAAATTGTTCTGGCTTCAAATAGGATGCTTATTCTGCATTTTTAATTACAAGATCTTTACTCCTGGTCTAAATGAAAGGTGTTTTTTATTATTATTCATTGTTACCCAGATCTGTGACCAGTTAAGTGCAACTAGAATGAAAAATACCAATGGTTACCTGTATGTTTTTAGGATTCTTACTCTCTTTATATATCTGTGCTGATTTCTGTATTATTGTCTTTCTGATCAAATAGTCTGGCTTTGAAATAGCACTGAAATTTCACAACAATCTGTTTTGCACTGCTTGTATATAGATTTTTGTACAGCAAACAGCAATGACTCTCACTCAGCATGAAGAAAATCTGTTCCTCTACCAACAACAAACCTGTCATGAATTTTTGGACACGGCCATTAATTTCAGGAAGAAAAATTAATAAGAGGAAAGTTATTCCGTCATTTCACTAACACCAATATTGTGAAGCTGTTTTAAGCAATGAATGTTAGATTAGAGATGCCTCCTCCCTGAGTCAGAATTTTCTTAGCTGCTCATTGAATGCAACAGAGAAAAGCAGAAAAATGTGTTTTCAAATAAACATATTGTATATATGTATATATATATAGAGAGAGAGAGATAATAGACATTCCCCACCATTTCCAGTTGTGAATGTAACACCATAGCTTGGACTGTCACAATAGCAATAGTTGTATCTCTGAATCATGAGGCATTTGGGAGGAAAAAAGTGTGATTTTTTTTGCTTTCATGCTTTATCTTCCTTCATATTTCTGTCATGCTATGGCAGAACATCCCCTAGAAAATCGCAAGGGTAGACAGAATAGTTTAAAGTCCAACTCCCACTGCAGATCAAGTGGAAGGAAAAAGTGAAAAATTGTCACAAATGCATGATTTTTAAGATTAAACTAGCCTCTGTAGAGTTGCATAAAATTGTTTCTGTGTGAATTTAGAGGCAAAAATAGCAGAAGCACATCACCTAGCTTTTTAAAATAGGTATTGACTTGCATAAAATCCTGTTGAAAGGCAGTAAAAGCGTTACATAAATACCAGGAGCAATTTAACTTGGCCAAGGTGACTCTTCAGCTGCAGACAATTATACTGTGCCTAATATTTGCAGTATATTTAGTGTACTGTGTCACCATGCTAATCTTGGATCTAGCCTGTGTCCAGATATATCATTTAGAGATTAAAATGTATTTATTGTTTATTGAAGAAGTTTTGGTGCTTGGTTTTTTTTTTTTTTCTCAACTCTTTTTTTTTTCCCAAATGGAAGGAGGTCTAGAGAAATGTAAAATACTAATGGGATAGATATCATAGCTTATGATGCAAACATAATACAAATGAAAGTCCAGGTTGTCTAGGTTTATCCTGCTGCTATACAGTTTGTATTGTACAAATGATGTGCAACCTGTGTTTTGCAGTTGGATATTTATTCATTTCTTAAATTTTATTACAGTGTATTTCTAAAGTTTTTCTGTTCCTACGCAGAATGTAAACCACAGTTTACTTGCCATCTTGATTTTTATTTATTCCCATTTTTTATTTTATTCTAGATGTGTAAAGTCTCAGGAAGCCAAACATTTATTCATTCCTTTTTCATGTTCAAGGCCTGAAAGAAGACTTGTCTGTTCGGAGATGAAATTATTTCTATATTTTGCCATAGGATTCTTAAATTTGATGGATCTCTTGGTTTTTCATTGTTATCCTGAATTTACAGATCTAGCTTATTTGAAATTTTATCACAATTATAATAATTTTTTTAATTATTATTTTATATTTTTCAGGTCTGGCAAAATGTCTCAGCAGAGAAAGAGAATTTTCATGTGGCCTCAAAAAAGGAAGAAAATCAAAGCACCCAGGAGTGCGATTCTCAAGATGTAAGATTATCTCACCTCAAAAATAAGCCCTGATCTTATGGTTGGATGAAAGCATGAATGCTGTAGGTGACTGTCAGTGGGACTTTTCCTGCTCAGGATGGCAGATATATTAATTTATAAATTATAAGTGCTGAGGAGTAAATGCTCTTTGCTGCCAGTCTGTGCATATATATTATCAAGGTTTCTGTTCAAAACTGCCCAATAGAACTGGTGGAGCTGCTGCAGGAAGAGCAGTGGTGGAAAGTGGTGTCATTTGATGTTTCACCATTTCAAAAATTTATTTGATCCTGGCTGAAGTGTTGCCTGCATTACAGTGCGATGCAAAACCCTTGTTTACATATCATTATATTTAATACTAATTTATTTATTTCTAATAATCAGGTACAGCCTTCACAGATGCTTTGTTTAACAAAGCAAATCCTGTGGGGAGATGTAAGACATGACAGCATAATCATTGAAAGGCTGTGATACCGTTCACTGCCAGTCTAGAAAAGCTGTAAGCTGTGTTTTTCTTGTGATAGTTCTGACAGAAAACCAAATCTGCTGCTTTCACTGAGACAATACACTCAGTCAAACAGCATGGGATGAGCTCTTCACAGAAATCTCAAATGCATGGATTGGGGCTGTAATTATAAAGACACAAATAGAACAGGGAAAAAAAGCCAGAAAAAATGAGCGAGACAAATTTTGTTGTGAGAGTCTGCTCTGACTGTTGAGGATTTTCTGCTCAATAGTTCAGAAAGTATAGTGATACTCTGACTAATTTGCAGGTGAAATATATATATATATATATATAATTCAATATATATTGTTAGGTCTTGAGATAAAACAAAATCCTGTGGAGGTAACTCAGTAATTTGCTGTTAGGTGATCATGACAGTGTGAAGAAAATTCTGGAAAAAAAATCTTACATAATTTGGTATACAATATATATTTTTTCTAATTATACAGTATCCATTTATCACAAAGGTGTTAAAAGTTTGTTCAGTTATAAGTTACCTCCCTTCTGCCACATCCTCCACAGAACAAGGAGAAATTGCATAACCATAAGAGTGCTTACTTTGCTGCTGCACATTTCTTAATATCTAAAGGTAAAGGAAACTTCAGTTGTTAATAAAATTTGAAGGAGGGGAAGAAAAGCGTGTAAAATTATGAAATTGGAGTGAACTCTGTTTAGATTATGACTAGAGGTTAGTTATTCCTTGGAAAAGTTGTGTAAGGCTTGATGAAATGTAGAATACTTTTAGCAGAGGCTGATCTTTAGCTGAGGGACACAAAGATATATGTGTTGTGTTTATTTGGGTATTGATGTGTTTATATATGCATTTGTATATACACATAAAAGCACATAGATGCACGCATGGGGGTGTGTGTGTGTTTATATATATGCCTGTTTATATACATGCTCTTCATTACACATTTTGCAACACTAATGATTGTTTGACCCATAGTATCTTCTGTCCTCAAGCTGCACAACTAGAAGTCACCTAAATCCTCATTTTTTTCTGAAGATGATTCAGCTTGAAATATCTTTTTTGAATCTAGATTAAGAGTAAATAATTTAAATGGAATTTTTGGCAGGACCACACTTTTAGTTTTAAAGTATTAAAAGTCTACTAAAAATTGCTACTCTGTCATCTGACTTTTTAGTCTTTGTCTAAGACATAAACCCTATGTTTTGTTTGATTTTTTTGGTCATAAAAGGAGTAGGTGCTTTATCAATATACTTTATTTTAATCAATACCGCCTTGATTATTCCCTGTATGAATCCAAATTTTATTTGCTGCTGTCTAGAGTGGGAAAATATGAAAAAGAGTTCCCCACATCAAAATCATCTTCATCATCTCAGAGGCTGACATTACTTAGCTTAAACATTACTAAACCCCCCCACTGTTACATTGGAAAGAGTCTTGATGACTTAAAACTTTATAAAAACCCTGTCATTTTCAGTCCATTTAAATGTATCATCACTCCATTTAAATGTATCACTTTTAATAACAAAAAAAGTAGAGAAATTCCAATGTGAACTCCTTTTAGAGTAATGACCAAGTATTACGAATATTTGACTGTATTTCATGTTTCAGCTCCTTTTCTTATGACATCCTTAATCCTACTCCTGAAGGGACAGTAGGATTTTCAGTGTTGAGTAAATCTCTGGTTTCATATCTGGAGATCTCCCTGGTTCAAAAATCTACTTTGCAATTGATTTTATTTATGCTGTGCAACTCTGTTTTCCCAGATATTAAAAAGCATATTGGCTAAGAATATAACATTATTCCTTGAATAAAATGACAGCAATTAAAGCACCAAGATTTTTCACCTTGAGACTCATCTAATTTCCCCATTCAGTGACTTTATATTTCTGTTCAGGGATTATTATACCTTCAAGATCTAGAGTTTAGACAAGAGAGTAGTAATAGAGAAGTTCTAACTGTAATGCTGATTTTCTACTGCTTGTTACTATTTCCTCACCCATAAAACACACTTGTAGTTAATTTTCTGTTCCCTCGGACCACTTGTAGAAGTAAACTGCACTATTGGGGGTGAGATTTAAGCATGAAGTAAAGAAGCTGGATGTTCTAGTTTCAGGCTGTTAAACTGGCTGTCACAAGACTTCAGCAATATTGTTGAAGGCTATGACAGGGATAATGTGAAAACTTTGTTCCGTTGCATCAGCTAGGCTTACAGGAAGACCCGGTGATTTTGGGTTTTTTTTTGGAAAACTGAATGTTTTTGGAAAAAAATACGAAGTAGTTATCTCTGCCATTTCTGTTGACAGGTTGCCAAGACTTGTTTGGGGAATCGTGATGATTCAACATCTCGTTTGAAGGCAGCAGAAACAGGGACAAGCTTCCAGGTATTCCCTTTCAGGGCAATTGTGGGGTTTTACTAAAAGCTCTTGTGAAATGCAGGTGCTTGAAGTGTACTCACACATTCTTCACCAAGTTCTGCCTCAAAAGAGAAGGCTGCTTAGTTCAGACTTTCCCTGCATCTGATTGCAGTTCATCTGTTCCAAATGTCTTCTGGCTGGTAACAATTTGCAAACTATTAAATATTTTAAGAGCTGGTAGTCAAATGAATTAGTAGTCAAATGCCTTAATTTGATAGTGTGATGTCTATAGCCCTGGAAGCAGGAGTAGGAGAGATTTCCAAAATAATTAAATATTAAATCCATATATAATTGGTATATATATATAATATGCAGGGATATGAAGCTGTGTGCAGTATACTTGTATGGTTTTGCACTGTGAATGTTGTTAATTATGCTTTCTTTAATAGAGATCAGAACCCTTTTCTAGGGATGATTCCATTGCCATGGAATTTTAACATACTTTTTTTATTTCTGCTTATGCTTATATGTATTCTATACACCATGTTTTTTACCTCTACAGAAGTTTCACAGCCCTCCATGGCCTACACCTGAAGATAAAAAATCACCTGAAAAAAAGGAGAAAAAATACGAAAAATCAGTTAGTAAACCAGAAAAAAACCTCTAACTGCTACTAATCTACATTGAAAACTGCCAGTCACTTCCATCCTCATGTTCTGTTAGCACAAAGGCATGAAATGTCCCAGGTTTCTAAAGCATGGATCTTTCACTATTTTATGAATGTTTGTAAATTAGTCTAGAACAGACCAATTAGTACCTTACAGCAATAATCCAAAATGGATGTTGGAAGAAATGCTTTGTAATGCAGTCCAGTTTTTGAATTCTTGTTCTACCTTATCAATAATTGTATACTATAAATTACCTTCTTTGTAAACAACAGTCATTCTCAAGTGTATTTCTCAGATGGTTTTATTTCGTGTAATTTTGTGGCAGATTAGGTTCTAATATTAAGGGGCAGTCAGTGTGTGTGGGGGTAAGATAGCTGTGTAACCATAACTGAAGTACAATCCTTAAGTGCAACTGTAAAAAGAGAACTGTGTGCGTGGGGCTCCATATATACTTACCTTTTAGTATTTCCATCTCAAATCTACTTACTTACACAATAAAATATGTTTATTTTGTTCTTTTTTTCCTCACTGCTATCTTGACTAGTCCATTTCTGAGCACTGAAAAGCTGACAGAATTGAGTTTAAGGGATGGAGATAGAGAGCATCATTGCTTTGGGGATTCAAGGCAAAAAATGTGCAGGTAGTAGTGAGTTACAGTTTCCTAGCTTGGATGGCAGCCGTGGGAAGTCAGTTTCATCCCCTAGATTTGTGCTGTTCTCAACAGGATAAAATGTACTTTAAAGGGTAAAGCCCTGTTTTTTCCACTACAGTTTGGTCACTCCATCAGGGAGGATTGATGGGAGTGAGCTCTGTCACTCATGGATTCTGTCAGCTTCTCCTTAGTCACACACTCCATGGCAAGAAAGCAGAGAGAAAGGGAGGAGAGGAGACAATGTTTTGCTTGTTTGTGTGTATGTCGTTATAGGTCAAATTTAAGAATTCATCTTTTTGAGATGCAGATCTTTCAAGAACAGTTGGACTAGTAAACTGCCTGATGCAATGCCATGCTATCCCTAGCAAGAAGTGTTTTAAGCATTTGTAACTTATAAACTTCCACCTTTGTCTTAATGCACAGCTCAGCACATTGTTTTACTAGATTTAAAGTAGTTATAATAATTTACTTTTTCTTGCTTTGTATCAGTTTAAAAGCAAATAGACAAATCTTTTATTTGACTTAGTGGTGCTCTGTCTTCAGTTTTAGCATTTTAGATTTTACCTCTCCTTCAACAGTCTGCCTTTTCCTTGCTGGTATGAATAATCTTTCACCCTGGCACTCTGTGTATGCTCCTCTACTCAAAGGTAAATAGTTGCAATTTTCTCTCCCTTGAGAAAATACAATTTTAAAAAGAAAAAAACCTCATGAGCTGACCAAAGGATGACAAAGTAGGGTTTAAGAATATCCATGTTAAGAGTCAAAAGAAGTGAAATCGTGGCCACAAAATTAACCAGAAAAGAGATGTGGCTCTTTGCGTCTCGTCCTAAATCTTGCTGAAGACAGTCTGCTGTCTTTCAGAATATTCAGTGAGCAAGAGACTTGTGAGCTTCTCATATCTACAGCTGGCATTAATTTCTAGTGATGCCAAAAGCAACATTTCTCTGCATATGACACACCTTAACTGCAAAGGTCACTGAAACTCCGTTCCAGTCATCTGTCAAGAAAGGATCTCCACTGCACAGTGGCTGCAGCCCTCCAGCAGGACAGAGCCTGTGAGCACAGTGCTTCCTGGGCCTTAAAAAAAAACCCTTGCCAAGGGGCTCCCCTTCATCAGGCAGCCTGCAGTAGATACCAACCACAGGTTCCTTTGCTGCCTTGGGCACTGATTGTTACCTGCAGGCCCTTGCCTTGCTCATGGCTGTGCCTCAAGGACAGCTCCTCACGTGGAATCCACGTTGGATGTAGAGTGCAATCCTCCACCTCTCCTTCCTCCCCTTATCTCTGAGCAGGCTGTGGCTGTCCGTGCTGACACTCCAGTCATGGGCTCCATCCCACCAAGTTCCAGCAATGCAGCAAGGTGATAACTTTCTTGCAGCACAGTGGCTTCCAGCTCCTCCTGTTTGTTGCCCATGCTGCGTGTGTTGATTTGAAGGCACCTCAGCCTGCCTGTCAGCCATGTCACCCTCCCAGAGGAACACCCCTTTTCCTCCTTTGACAGAATTTTCTGGTGTTTTCCCTGTCAGCTTTTATTACCTTTCCTTTCCTGACAAAGCCAACCCTAGAACTGCCTTGGCCTCTTACCTCTCCCTTGCACTTCATTGCCTTCCATGCCCATCTCCTGCCTTGACTTGCTTGCAACTTTTGTCCCTGGCCTTGCTCAGCATTTTCTGCCCTTCCTTTGCCCTGCCTTTCCCATCTGAACCTTGCCTTCCCTTACTTACACCTCCATGTCCTTCCCTTGCCCTTCCCACCACTCCATTTTCTTGCTTTGCCATAGTCAGTCACTCTTCACCTTGGCTTTCCTACCTCTTTTTTCCTGTCTTTGCCTTGCCTTGCTTTCTTCCATGACTCTGATCGCCTTGCCTACCCTGACCTTGCCCTGTTTTGCATTTCTCTGATTGGGAGACTGCACCTTGCACCAGAAACACTGAAGAGAAGTGCTTTCCTTCCTTCCTTTCCTTCTTTCCTTTCTTTCCTTTCTTTCCTTTCTTTCCTTTCTTTCCTTTCTTTCCTTTCTTTCCTTTCTTTCCTTTCTTTCCTTTCTTTCCTTTCTT